ACTTATTTCTATCTTTACTTTTATTCCTTCTTGTAGAAGTTGCAGGCTTTACAATCCCAACTCTCACCGCTGTTGTTATAACATAACAAAACTGTTGGTAAATGGATCTCTAAAGCCAACAGAAAATGGAGAGGTAGTACCATTCTCTCTTTTGATTAACCCTTTACAACCCAACATCAGTATGCTCTTTGCTGTTCTTTATACTCTTCCCAAGGTGCTTATAAGGAGAGTTTGTTTAACAATCAACAACTCGTTCAGTTGGTGATCATTTCCTTTATTCTTGTAACCTTAATGAGTGATTCAGGGGCGATATTCTAGGGAGAAATTGAATGCTAGGCATTCTTAGGAGTTAAAGGATTAAGCATTTTTATCTCACTACCCAATATATAGAATAATGATATTTAATAACATCAATCATGAACATTTTCTGTTCCTGTTTTTCCTTAGGCATTTAAACATGGGAAAATGTTTCACGATGAAACCATGCCCTCTTTCTTTCGCCGGCCAAGTTTTTCACCAGAGGGATCATTGCTTCTAGTCCCTGGTAAGCATTTCCATTAAAACATGGTTACTGTTATGTCTTTTCACCTGTTGGTTCTTGGTCCAGATAATGTTTCTCTCAATTAGGTTTACTTTTTTTTCACTGAGACATGAGCTAATCTCCAATCATAAAAGTGAGGTTCCCGAACACTATGTCATTTGCATTTTCCCCTTTTACAAAATTTGTTTAATTTCCTCAATTTCCATTTAATTTTCAGCTGGCCGGCTTGAAGTTGGTGATCAGATTGTCAACACAACATATGTTTTTACCAGAGGATCTCCAAACAAGTAAGTACCTTTGCCATCCGTGTAACAAACAAAGGACACCTTATATAGGTTAACACAGTTTTCCTCTTTCATTTGGAGAAGTAATTTATTGGGGAAATCTTGACTGCTTTGGAAAATTTTTCCTGTATTTACATGTAGGAATTCTTATTAATTTTGTTTCAGACCAGTACTTTATCTTCCAAGTCCTCAAAAGGCCACAGTGGCAGTGCGATGTTGCCCCATCCTGTTTGAGTTAAGACAAGGTACAGTTTAGAAAAACATCTGTTTTCTTTTCTTGCATGTCAAGAATAAGTTTGTGTTAATTTTAATAATTTAAATTTGAAACTTAACAGCTCACTTAAGCTTACATAAAAATGATGATGATGATTATCATTATTATCTCATATTTATTTAAGCAATAGACCACACTTTCTATCAGTTTACTAGAAAAAAAATCTCTTGGGATGTGGGGAAAACACTAAAAAAGTTTGTAAATCACAAGCCATAGGCAAACAATTTATGACCTTCAATTATCTATGGGTTTACTGGTGCATTAACCCTTTTAAGTCCCACCAGTGACCTAAACAGAATTTCTCCTTACACTATCAGTATGATATCAAACAGACAATTAGTGAGAATAAAGAAAAATATCAATTAGGGGATTATTGGTTGATCCGATTTGATCCACAGGGGCACTTGTAGTATCTTAGTTATTTAATAACAGCAGTAGACTGCTTCTCGACAGTAGACATTGTTTCCTGACAGTTGACACATGAACAAACTAAACATGTGCAAGAAATTACAAATCTCTTTTACTTAAATGTGTTTCAAATAATGTGGTTTAACCAAACTTAGATCCAAGGATAATTTTTGGCAGATTGCACTCAGCAATTCATTTTGTATATTTTAGTTGGAAACCAAACCACAGCTATGACTGTTAATACTGATAGACAATATTTGTCTCCTAGTGAAAGGTGATGGCAAATCTGCAAAGAGTATCTTCAAGTAGGTTTCCTGTTTTTTTACGCTGTGCTTTGATTAATTTTAGGTTAAAATCCTCACCTTGCAAAGTGGCGGACACTTAACCTGAGAATTTAGATAGAATAATTATTAATAATAATTATTAATAATAATATTATTAATAATAATAATAATATTAATAATAATTAGATAGAATAAGAAAGATGGTTAGTTTTAAGCTTGTTAAAGAAATAGAGAAAGATGTTTTACATCTTGTCACAAGTGTGGGAACTAAGAGAGTCTCTATTTTTGGCACAGTGGTAGAGCATAGGAGTGCAGAATATGAAGGTCTAAGACATCTTTTTCTGATATATCATTTGTTTGCATTACAGGTTGCCTTACCGGATGGTCTTCTCTGTAGCAACAATTGACTCTATTCTGTTGTATGACACTCAACAAGCGGTACCTTTTGGTTACATAAGCAATATTCATTATGCTGCTCTCACTGATCTTACTTGGTATGTACAAGGTTGATATACTTTTGGTAACAGTGACCAAGTTTCATTTACAAGGCTGCTGATGCCATTCACAGTTTCTGTAGCAGTTAATGGCTAAGGGGTGTTGATGCTAACCCTACATGGGGTGCTTGTCCATAACAATTTTATCTTCAGCATTTCAGAAGGTTTTGATGGCTTGCTTTCCATCCATACTATAAAGGAGGGGGGCAATGAGGGTGACTTGTTCATTCTTTAACTCCCAGAAGTGATGAACATGAAACTTCTCCCTATAATATCTATACATTATTCAGCAAACAGGTAATGAGAATATTCAAACTTATCAGGTAGAAGCTACTATCTTGATTTAGCACAAAGTTCTCATAACTAATTTACAAGGAAATGTGTAACAGCTAGTGGGGAGGATTAACAATAAGATCTTGAGAGTTTAAGGGTTAAAGAAAACCATGCTTTGACTCAAAGCAAAACTTCAGCTTTGATCTCTGCATTTGATGTCCATGCCCTCACGAGGAAGCATTTAACCCTTTAAACCTTAAGATTAGTATGTATATTCTCTATACTGTTCTCTATACATTTTCTGAGATGCTGGTTAGGAGAATTCTTTTAACAGTCAAGAGCCCTAAGATTTACAAGTATACCACTTGTATATTGCCTTTATTTATCTTATAATGGTAATATTACATAGCAACTTCTTATTTTCATGACAATACATCCTTCTTTCAGGTCCAGTGATGGAAGTATGCTTGTGGCTTCCTCTTCTGATGGCTACTGTACCATTGTCCACTTTAAAGAAGGAGAGCTTGGTGTGCCTTACTCTCTGTCAGTCAAACAAGCCTTAGAGAGAAGCAACTCCCCATTACTGCAAACTTCTGATACTTCAGGTAACCTTTGACATTAAAACTTGAAGAGAGACCAGCATCTAATTTCTTTATGTGCACCATATACATTGAGCTTGGCTATAGCAAATTAAAATGCATTAGTTAGTGCTACTGGTACAGAAATCATTCTGCTAAACTAACTTCTGCTTTAGTGAACATCATTTAATACAGCATTATTTTTCACATCTAAAATGGCTTAACATGAGACTTAAATAGTAATAAAATGGAGGTCATGAATCTGGCCAAAACTAGTGTGTATAGAAATGTTACAATTGTAATTGCTATTCCAGGTAAAGTGAGCAAGAACATGCGAGCATCCTCACCCTCAGAGAAGGATAAGAATGAGGAAAAGTGTGACAAAACACCCTTGTCTACCAAGAAGGAGCAATTAGGCAAGATAAAAAAGTTTACAATACCTATGAAAATTACACCAACCAAACCTGCCAGAAAGGTGGATCCAAAGAGAATCACTCTGTCACCAGCCCCTTCAAAGCCAGGGGCTGCAAATCAAGTTTCTGAAGAGTTGAGTTCAGCAGCGTCCACCAGTGTGGTTCAATTTTCCCCACCTGCTACAAACACTGCAGGACTTCAGCAGTCTTCTGCTGGTCCCAAAAGGGTGACATTGATGCTTGCAAAAGGGCAATTAAATGGAAATAATTCAGGTGGTCAGATGACACCAAGGCGTGTTGCACTATTGCCAGCAGCAAGTAACCAACCCAACAAGAGCTCTGCTGAGATCAAACAAACAACTCAGGTAATACCGAGACGTGTTGCTCTGACACCTATGGAAAGTACATCCAAGCCTGAAGACATAAAAGTGACAGAAACAAAGGAAGCAAAGCAAGTTCCAGAACGAGTACCAAAATGCAGTACACTGGGGTCCAGCTCTGCCAAGGGGAACATGCCCCCAGGTGATGTTAGAACCAGGGAAACCAGTCTAGCACAGTCATCCTCTCCATCTCAAACTACATCTGCACTTAGAAGAGTACCCCTTGTGACGTTGGCAACTGATCTTGAGAAAGCCTGCACAAAGGGATCATCACAAGCATCCCAACTACCTGGAACATCTTCTACATCAGACCGTAAAACTGTGGTTAATGAAAATGTCACAAACAAATCTACAGAGCCCACTTTGAAACAGTCAGTGCTAGCAAGAGGTGAAAAAACTAGTAAAACTGACAACTCTGCACTTAGGAGAATAACACTGACACCTGTTCCAATCACAACCCAGACACCATCCATAACTTCTCTTACAGATAAGGAAAACAGCACAATCAACCAACCTCCACAACCTAGAAGGGTAATGCTTACTACTCTTACACCTCATGGAGGTGGGAACACTCAAGTTGAACAGCCACAGGGCAGTGTTACTAAATGCCAGACCACAAGAAAACCTATTCCCTTAGAGCCAAGAATCATTATACTGGATGACTAACATGTAGCTAAAAATAAGTTAACCCTTGATGCACTGATCAATTGGAAGCTTTAACATCCCTTCACTTCCTTGGGCATTTGAACTTTTGAGGATTGGTTTGTTCAAATTCTCACTCTACAGGGCCAAAATTATGTCCAAATGCCCTGCTCAATGATATTGTGAATTTGGAAAAATCAGCAACCATGACTTTCTGTTCATTCATCAAGCTTTAAAAACTAGACCTTGTAGATCTTTCTTCCTGAGCCATTCAATTGCAAAGTGAAAAAGCCAGGCAAGGTTTAAATTCCTCAAACTCCCCCTCCCTCCCACCCCCCCCAGAATTTCTTTCTACAATATCATCACAAAAAGTGATGAGACTAAAGAAAACTATCAATTAGTGATTAGTTGATTCAGTACCAACTTCTCTGAACTAACGTTATAAGAATTGTTTAGCAGACAGTAAGGAGAATTACTAATAAGATCTTGAGTGTGAAGGGCTTAACAGTATTTGCCATTTCAAAGCACACTCCATCCCTTTGCAAGCATTTTTGTCACGATAGGGTTTGGCTGCAAAAAAATTAATTTTTAACGCTGGGCTTGTGTTTAACGTGCAGGAAACCCTCTGATGCTAGTTCTATCTTTAAAAACCTTTTTGGATATCACCCATTCAGTGAAGGAAAAGCAGAAGAGAGAAAGCTATAATCATGAAAATTATCAATCATCAAATTTTGTTTACATAATAGGCGTACATTGATTGGTCA